AGGCGAGCCTCCAAAATGACCTACTCCTCTAAATAGCCCAAGCGTAGCCCGAGCTTTGATACCCTCTAAACAACCAAACCAACGTGCTACGAGAAATCAAATCAAACGAAAGTCGAGAGAAGGCCAAATGAATCAAATCAATGTCACAAACACAAACAACCAATTTTAACATGGTTCGGCAAGTTGCCTACGTCCACGGGGCAAGAAGGGGATAGAGTTTTTTACTAATAGACAAGAATAGTACAAACTGAGATTACAAATCACTCAAACTCACCAATTAATCTCACCAACAAATCTCTAATTCTCTCCAAACAAAACCCTAACCAATAGCTCAGAAAATACCTCTTTTATGTGCTCCAAATATCCCTAATTTTCTACTTAATTCTCTCTTCCAATTGTTCCATATATATAGAAATCCTAAAATCATAAACATACTAGGAATTTTAAAACAAAAAACAAAACAGATTAGCAATCCTAATAACCTGTTACCAAAACAGATTTTGAATCATGTTACCAAAATAGATTTTGAATCCCAATAACCTATTACCAAAACAAATTAGGAAACATATTAGGAACTTGCTATCCAACACTTTAAAATTGGGGGGGGGATCCTAAAGCTTGAGGTGTTTCCCTGATAACCTCTCTGAAGTATTTAATTCGAGAAAAAAAATCCACTTTATTCTTGGGGTGTTGCAGATAATTTTCTAAACTTATTTGATTCGACTAAATCCCCTAAACTTTTGGGTGTCACACAAAATATCCCAAAATGCAGGGGATTTAGTTGAATAAAATTACTTCATGAAGGTTATTACAATAGCCCTAACGTTCATGGTGATTTTTTCGAATTAAAATAGTTCATGGATTTTCTAAAATTAACCATTAAAAGAGATAGTAACTTATACCAAAGGATAACAAAATTAGACAAAATTTAGCAAAACAGTGAATCCAAAAAAACTAAATTTAAAAATAATTTAGGATCGTACTTTGAGTTTAAAAGTGATTTAGCAAGGTGGGTGTAAAAATAAGCCTAAAAAATTTAGGTCTATAACACAAAAAAAATACTTAACAAAAAAGGGTAAATTGCAGTCAAATATCATATATTTTTCCACTTATTACACTTAAATACCACAAGTTGTATTTTAGTGCAAAAAAAATACCATAAAGGTTTTAAATTTTACATGTTACTACCATTGATCATGCAAACATAGAAATTTTCACCCAAATATTTTTCTATGATAATTACATGCTAACTATAGAGCTTTTTAACTAATAGTATTTGTTAAATTTGTAATTGAATCAACTATTTTTTTCACAATTATATTGGTTCAACTTTAAAATAGAGTTGGAACATAATGAAAATTTTAAAATATTAATGGTTAGAAATTTTCCACATTTAGAAAATTTGTATGAGGTGAAAATTTTCGCATTTGCACGATTAATGGTAGTGAGGTGAAAGTTTTTGAAAACTTTACAGTTTTTTTTCCATCGAAATACAAGTCACAACATGTAGCATTTAAGTGCAATAAGTGAGAAATTATATGGTATTTAAGTGCAATCTACCAAAAAAAAACAAAAAAACAAAACCAAGCCAAGCCTATGTTCAACTAACCCGGCCCTGCCTGCCCCGTGCGCTCCACCCATTTACTGGCTTGAAGGACCGAAAGCTCGACCACTCGCTCAAACTCGCTTTCCCCAAGATCACCGCGCCAGTCCTTCTCAGCCTCCGAACAACACCGGCGTCACGCGGCACGACCGAACCAAGCAGCGCCAACGACCCCACGGTCGTATTAAGCCGATCTTTCGTGGCAATATTGTCCTGGACCATAACCGGGATCCCGTGCAACCCTTTGCACGGGCCGTGCCCATGTTTCCTCTCCCAGTCGGCTCTGTCCGCTTGCGCGAGCGCGTTTGGGTTCAACTCGATAACTGCGCGGAGCAGCAGTGGCGTACCCAGGATTTTTTTGCTCTGGGCAAAAAATAAAGGTGGTATATGAATATGTCATGAATCAAACTTCTCTACCAGTTCTTCTGTGTCGAGGCTGGAAGTAATTTCTTTTTTAATATAAAGTATCATGTTATTAGCAAGCAATTCATCTCCCATCTTGTTGCACGGGAAAAATTGCTTTCTTTGATTCCATTGCTTTCTCAAGTAATAGTTTTTCGATTACAAAAGATCCGGTCTTTTTATAAGACCCGGTTACAATAAAATCAAAAATAAAAATAAAAATTACAACTTTCCTTTTATGTCGAACGAATCGCGAGATCCTGTTTTGCGGTCTCTCGCTTTTGTGGGTTCTTCGCCTGCGCCGGGGTTAATCCGTGGACCACCGCGTAATCTTGATGCGGTCGGATCTACACGATATGACGGATGCTATTTCACGAAGGAAATAACAGTCGGGGGTACTATTTCGCCAAGGAAATAATAGCCTTTAGTAATCGAAATCGACCAAGCGAAATCGAGACTCTTCTCGGGATCAAAGGCCAAGCTTTGATCCGGAGGAAAATCGTGTAGATCTCAAATCTGATCTCTCTCGAACTCCTGCCTTATTTGGCGTGAATGATCGCAAAGAACCAGATCTGAGAGTCCGAGTCTTCTAAGTTGAAAATCCGAGGGTGAGTTCTCAATCCAGCACAGTTTCGGCTCCCAAAATTCAACCTTTCAAAAATGAGCCGTGCCCCCTCTATTTATAGCCTTCTGAAAGCGGATCTGGGCTCAGATCTGGGCCCAGATCCAGCTGGCTCGGGGAGGTGGCTCGGCCACCAGGTGGCTCGGCCACTAGGTGGCTCGGCCACCGAGCCACCC